TTATGGGTTTATATTTTGAAAACCAAAGATCATGTGTTTTAAATTTTCCAGAAGTTTCATGCTATGGTGAAAAGGGAGATATGCCAAAAGCTAAAGCGTCTCCGAAGTGACAATGGAGGTGAGTACACTTCAAGGGAATTTGAAGAGTACTGTTCCAACCATGGGATCATACATGAAAAGACAGTTCCTGGAACCCCACAACACAAAGGTGTAGCCGAAAGGATGAATCAGACCATTGTGGATAAGGTAAGAAGCATGCTCAGAATGGCTAAACTGCCTTAAGTCATTCTGGGGTGAAGCAGTTTAGACAGCCTGTTACCTGATCAATAGGAGTCCATCAGTTCTGTTGGCGCTTGATATCCCAGAGAGAGTTTGGACCAACAAGGAAGTGTCTTACTCACATGTGAAGGTGTTCGGTTGCAAGACTTTTGCACATGTACCAAAGGAGCAGAGAATAAAGCTGGATGATAAATTTGTTCCTTGCATATTCATCGGATATGGAGATGAAGAATTCGGATACAGATTGTGGGATCCCGTAAAGAAGAAGGCCATCAGAAGCAGAGATGTAGTCTTCCGAGAAAGTGAAGTTGGAACTGCTGATGATATGCCAGAGAAGGCCAATAATAGTATTATTCCTAACCTTGTTACTATTCCTTTTACTTCTAACAATCCCACAAGTGCAGAAAGTACGACCGACGAGGTTGCTGAGCAGAGGGAGCAACCAAGTGAGGTTATTGAGCAGGGAGAGCAACTTGATGATGATGTCCAGCAAGTGGATCACCCCACTCAGGGAGAAGAACAACCTCAACCTCTGAGGAGATCAGAAAGGCCAAGGGTAGAGTCATGCATATACCCTTTCACGGAGTATGTCCTCATCAGTTATGAGGGGGAGCCAGGAAGTCTTAAGGAGGTGATGTCCCATCCAGAAAAGAACCAGTGGATGAAAGCCATGCAAGAGGAGATGGAATCTTTGTAGAAAAATGGCACGTACAAGCTGGTTGAACTTCCAAAGGGTAAAAGACCACTCAAATGTAAGTGGGTCTTTAAACTCAAGAAAGATGAAAATGGCAAGCTGGTCAGATATAAAGCTCGGTTGGTGGTAAAAGGCTTCGAGCAGAAGAAAGGCATTGATTTTGACGAATTTTTCTCACCTGTTGTCAAAATGACTTCTATTCGAACAATCTTGAGCTTAGCAGCTAGCCTAGATCTTGAAGCGGAGCAGTTGGACGTGAAAACTGCATTTCTTCACAGAGATTTGGAAGAGGAGATCTATATGGAGCAGCCAGAAGGATTTGAAGTAGCTGAAAGGAAACACATGGTGTGCAAACTAAATAAGAGTCTTTATGGGTTGAAGCAGGCACCAAGGCAGTGGTACAAGAAGTTTGACTCATTCATGAAAAGTCAAACTTACACAAAGACATATTCTGATCCATGTGTATACTTCAAAAGATTTTCTGAAAATAACTTTATTATATTGTTGTTGTATGTGGACGACATGTTAATTGTAGGAAAAGATAAGGGGTTGATCGCAAAGTTGAAGGGAGATTTGTCCAAGTCTTTTCAGGAGAAGTACATTGAACGTGTACTGGAACGCTTCAACATGATGAATGCTAAGCCAGTCAGCAAACCTCTTGGTAGTCATCTAAAGTTGAGCAAGAAGATGTGTCCTACAAGTGTGAAGGAGAAAGGGAACATGGCTAGAGTTTCTTATTCTTCATCAGTCGGAAGCTTGATGTATGCAATGGTATGCACCAGACCTGATATTGCTCATGCAGTTGGTATTGTTAGCTGATTCCTTGAAAATCCTGGAAAGGAACATTGGGAAGCAGTCAAGTGGATACTCAGGTACCTGAGAGGTACCACGGGAGATTGTTTGTGCTTTGGAGGATCTCATCCAATCTTGAAGGGCTATACAGATGCTGATATGGCAAGTGACATTGATAACAGAAAATCCACTACTGGATATTTGTTTACATTTTCAGGGGGAGCTATATTATGGCAGTCTAAATTGCAGAAGTGTGTTGCACTTTCAACAACTGAAGTAGAGTACATTGCCATTGCAGAAGTTGGCAAGGAGATGGTATGCCTCAAGCGGTTTCTTCAAGAGCTGGAATTGCATCAAAAGGAGTATGTTATCTATTGTGACAGTCAAAGTGCAATAGACTTGAGCAAGAACTCCATGTATCATGCAAAAACTAAGCATATAGATGTGAGATATCATTGGATTCGTGAGCAGGTGGAGAACGAATCTTTACAGGTCAAAAAGATTCACACGAGTGAAAATCCTGCTGATATGTTGACCAAGGTGGTACCAAGAGGCAAGTTCGAGCTATGCAAAAAATTTGTCAGCATGCACTCAAACTAGAAGACAGTGCTACCTCCTTCAGGTGAATGGTACTGGAAGGGGAGCTTTGTGGGGTTCATCCCATAAATTAAGGAAGATAACTTTCTTCCTTTGATTGGCAGCCATATTTTCTTTTGCATTGTCAAATATGGTAGGCTGTAGAAGGAAAATGTCAAATTGTTAGGCGGAAGAAAGAAAACATTTACATCAACCAATCCTTCATTCTGATTGGTTGAAGAGGTAGGCTATTTCTCCTATAAAAGGAGAGCTTCGGCTTCTTCATTTCACCACACAGGAAGAAAAGCAACACAATAGTTGCAGAGAGTATTTCTCAAGCATTGTGAGAAATAGACTGTGTAGAGGAAAATAGAGAGTGAGCGATATAATAGTGAGGTGGAAATATCAAAAGAGAGTTATTTCTTTTGAGTATTGTAGTGGTCTTTGGAGTATTTTACTCGGACCTACAAAGTATAAAATTTCTTGCTATAGTGATATTAGTTGCTCGTCTCGGGGCCGTGGTTTTTTCTCTTATTCAAAAGGGTTTTCCACCTAAAAATCTTGGTGTCGTAGTCACTCTTTTATTCTTGTTAATTACCGTATTTCGGTGCTACGTTATTATTCCGCTTTTATTACTGTGAATATTATTTCTGTAAGGGGTTTATTCCCGACAACTAGTACCTTAACAATTTTGCAAACTGCTGTTATGAGGAGAAAGTTATTAAATCAGTCCAAATTGGATTGGGGATCTCCAGCTCACACCAAAATTGGTGCATTATCAGAGAAATTTGAGGGGGCGTTTAGTTGATTGTTGAAAGCTTTTTATAACCTGAGATCAGTGTTTTGCTTTATGATTAAGTCATTGCAGTGGACAGCTTAGGACTGAAGATATGTACATATTGGTCTTAGGTCACGGGTTCGAGCCATGTAAATAGCCTCTTGCAGAAATTCAAGATAAGGCTGCGTACGATAGACCCTTGTGGTTCGGCCCTTCCCCGGACCCCGCGCATAGCGAGAGTTTAGTGCATCGGGCTGCCCTTTTAGGTTACTAAACCATACAGGCCATAGCGTTGGCTGTCCATAAATTCTTAGAAACCTAAGTTTGGTATATGAATTTAGATTCTCAATTGAAAAAAGTGCTGTTCAAAGTCAGCTCATCATTCGATTTATAAAATCTGATCAATTCAAGGTGCACTGTCAGTAGATTTTCTTGAAAAGTTTAAGCCAGCATGTTATTCTTGTGGATTAGTACTAGTCCACTATCATAATATCTTCACCACATTAAAGATAAGCTTCTATATTCTTAAGTACTGAGGTCCACACATGCTCTGCAGTAGCACAACACAAGTAGACACTGGTTGGTTTTGTTCTTCTTTGACCACAAACATTGCAGGTCCTATGACCATCTTATTGATTTATGAAACTGGAAAAATTATAATAAACTTTATCCAATTCTCTATTATTATTTCCATTTGTATAACATCCTAATTTCACCATTTTATAAAGTACTCAACTGAAGCACCACTTGGAACCATAAGATTAGTTTTTTGGTCATAAGAACCAACTTGTATCCTGAGCCATCGCCTTAGCACTATGGACGATCAGATTTTTTGTCTAAAATTCTCAGGATATGCCCCTCATAGATTCAGATTTCATGATTAGTCATTGGAATAGTGACCACAACTTGTTGATTAAACATCAAGAAATGGCTCCAGGTGGTCCCTAACTAAACCATTTTCAAGAAGATGAGGTTTCCATCTATTATTTGTTGTGAATATCAGTAGGACCTTCTGCTTTAGACTAATTCCAAAGTCTAGATAGTATGATAATGAGTTGGAAGGCAAAGCCGTGTGATACTTCAGGTGCTATTGTCTTAAGCTGGTTCCCATATATTACCTAATCAATGCAAATTACTAGGATTCTACAACTTGTCATTGCCCTATCTATATAAACACATACAAAAAAGAGTTCACCATAACAGCTCTCAGAAAAACTGAAACCACACAAAGCTTTTCTCTGATCTCAAGATCCTTACTAAGTATTATCTTTCCTTATTTTCTCATCTGTATTGAGCTAAGCAACAATGGCTATTCGTATGCCTAGTATAATCAAGAAGACTTCTACAACTGGAGATGTTCCAAAGGGACATTTTGTTGTTTATGTTGGGGAGAAACAAAAGAAGAGATTTGTGATCCCATTATCATTCTTGAGTCAACCGGCATTTCAAGACTTGCTTAGCCAAGCTGAGGAAGAATTTGGCTTTGATCATCCAATGGGTGGTCTCACAATTCCCTGTAGCGAGGATTTGTTCATTGATCTTACTTCTCGCTTGTGTAGGATCTGAGGCTTTTGCTTTCACAGTTTTGTAAAGAACTAACCTGGATTTCCAGCTTGTACATTAGAACAGTTAGGTAAAGACACATAATTTATACGATATAACTGAAAATTAGATAGAGAGAGTTACTGTTAGCTGCAACAGTAGATCCCAATTGAATGAAATTTTGTAAAGAGACAAGCATCATATTCTTTAGCAAATGAAATCCGTTCAGATTCAGTCTTTAGCCAATTGGTTTTTCAGTGTCCTTGTTGGATAAATTTCTTATCAAGACTCCATTTTCTCCACAACATGAGAATTGGAGCTTCTAAAGTGCTAAAGTCTATGTTAATTAACTCTAAAGAAAACACCTTATCTGTGACCTTATCCTGAACACTGAAATATTTTTGGTAATGACAATGAACAAACTTTAAAATATGAAAGAAGTGACATAAAAATATCACACTCCACCTGAATTTTCCTTCTCTGCTCTTCTTAAAAAAAAATCTCTTGCTTGGTTAATTAGAATTTCTCTTGGTCAGCTGAAAAACTGAGGGACAATTCTGATCTGAAAAGATGATTAATCATCAGATTAAATGACTTACTGTAAGAAAACAGAAATTGTATTTATTGAAGTCAGCTTATTTCTATAAACATCGATTAGTGCAGCTGTATTTACTCTATGGTTCCCTAAGATAGTGGCTATCTAGAAGTAAATAATGTTGCTTGTTTGCTAATTATTGAATCCAAACCCATAACTAGATGTGTTTTAAATACTTCACATATTTTTGTCATATAAGTTTTTTCTCCAAGGGATACATCATAATAGGATTTCTGTAATTAGTCAAATTTGTAAGTTAGTACATCAAAGAATTCCAAAGATCAGGTGTTTGTTTATCATAATCTGCGGAAAGAGTTCCTAAACCTCCATATATAAACTTTACTCAATCCACTAAGAATAATGATATTTTCAGTAGATAATATGAGAGTAGCCAAACATTCTGGATTAAGTCCAGGGCCGGGATAGGAAGCAACTGAAACATCCCACTTTCCTTTGTCCTATTGGTATGCTCGGATGTATATTCCATATTTTCAATTAAATGGATGCTAGAAAACCATGTCAATGGAAAAAAATGTCTAGGTGTATATTTGGACATGAATGATCACAACTAGGTTACATTACATCTCTTCTTAGCGATTAGATTGTGATGCATGTGATAAATGATGAAAAGTGTATATTTTTGTGTATATTTTCATATTAATTCTTGTATGAGTTGCGAGAGTTTATGTGGTTTATGAAGTGAAATATGCCCATTATGTGTTTCTTATGTGTAGGAGCGAGTTTGGATGATAAATGATGAAAATATGACAATTTGACATAAAAAGGAAGAGATGGAAAGAATTGGGAGCTCGTACAATCTCGTGCGGGGCACGAAAATGGACGCGAAAAAGGAGAAAACTGAAGGCGCAAAACAGTGAAGTGAAGCGAAGGCACGGATCCTTCGCGAACTGGAAAAATTTCACAAGCTAAATCCGCGTCCATGGGCGCGCGACGCGCGAAGGCAAACGCGCCCTCCAGTTCTCCTATTCGATTTTGGATTGCCTTGGACTGCCCTCTACTCTACCTATGTCATATAAATACATCCTAAAACGTCATTTTGAGGGGGCATCCGCAATTTTGGAGGATGAGACACTACGTTAGGGTTACACAACACCTTTAGAGGTAAGAATACACTAGGAACAAGGAGGAAGAATCAACCATGAGTTTTTCCTTTCTTGTTCCTGTTTTCTATTGTTGGTTATGAATTTTAGTATTGTATTTTCACATACTATTATGAGTAGCTAATTTATTATTTAGGGTTTTGATGGAACCTTTTGGAGGATGAATTCTTGTTAAGTTTCAATATAATTTAGCCTTTGAATTTCTTTACTTGTTCGACTACATGCTTATTTCTATTGATTGAATGGCCATCAATTGACTGTGCCTATTTATTATGTATTGCTTAGGAAAGGGTACATATTTAGGTAGTTGTTGAATAACTCACTCCTAACGTATATGAGAAATCAATACGACAAGTTTAAAGGTGGGTTTAAGAATAACAAAGTCTTGACGTGGTCATAGTGAGCGGTAAGATTGTGCCAGCTAGCGTAGCTCGGGAGAATTACGACACCTGAAGTGCCCATGATCAATAGAGAATAATTAGGTAAAATTATAGGAGACGCAGCGGGAAGGATTCCGACAATTGGGGAATCACAACTCTAGACCTCTTTAATCTTGTCTCCAACCCTTAGTATCTTTAGTTATTAATTTACTATTTTAATTTGTTAGTTAATTAGGTAGACATATGAATCTTAATATTTATAACTTAGGAATTGTTCAAACTTGTCTTCTTGGTGATAGTGAACAGTTGTAGCTAAATCTTAGTTCTCTGTGGGATTCGACTCCGGACTCTTAGATCGGATTATATTTGCAACGACCGTTTAGTCCTTTTTATACGACATAGTTGGGCGTGACCAAATTTTAGCGTCGTTACCGAGGAACTAACGGTATAGCTGTAGGTGTACATATTGCTAGGTTGCAAGTTTGAACTTTTATTTTTGTTTTCTTGTATTTTATTTTTGTTTTACTTGTTGATTTTAAAAACATAGCATCTTGGAATTATGAGAGCTTTGATGTTGGTAATTCTACTTTTGCTTCTCCTTATGCATATTGTGGAGAAAACCACCCATGGCAAAATTATCAAAATATTCCCGAGCTGAGTTATGTGCATCAACTCAATCTTATGTGTGGAATGTGTGTGATATGTGCGGTAGTCAAGATGGTCACTTTCATGGTTGTGCTTATATTTCTTGTCCTCCCACAACCCCTTACTATGATGGTTCTACTTTTTCTGGTGAAGTTAATAGGAACAAAGAACCTAGGGATGCTAACCTGAAGGAGATCAAAGATATGTTAAAGTGCCTCTTGGAACAAAGTAATGAGAAACAAAAGCAGATACAAAGGCTAGAGGATACTATCCAAAGGCAAGAGGCAACTATTCTTAACCTAGAGGCACAAGTGAGTCAATTAGTTGAAGCATTTAATGCTCAACCAGCTGATATTGTGGATAGTAGCCAAAAGAAACATGTATTAGATGCACAATTTGAGGTGCTAAGGGAGAAGGTCAGAGTAGAACACCAACAATCAATCGAACTAGATTTTGAGGATGTCGATGTTGTAGAAGAGATACTAGAGTCAACCAAGTACATTGATGAGACATATTTAGTTGACTCTAGTATCATGGGTGTTGAGGATGTTGACAATCCCAATATTCATATAGTTAAGCGCATTGGTCCACACTCCAAATATTTTTCCACATTGTGTTTCGACGATGATATGGAAGTAGAGTAATCCAAGACAATTAAGGAGTCAAGGAATGAGGAACAAGTGCATATAATTTGGAATTCTTCTTGCCAGAAGGTCAGGACCTCACGCAAAGGCTAAGAATTGTAGAATACTACATTATTTTCTTGGGGCAGTTAGATTTGTTCCACCACATTTGGAGCATAGTAGAAAACTTGAAGCAAAACTTGGGGTTCAATTCATATGCTCAAGGTAGAGGCAAAAAGTGATTCGCGTCGTGCCGCGACGTTAAATCAAGCGCTTGTTGGGAGGCAACCCAGCTTTACTACTTTCTTTTATTTTTAGTTCTTTTTTATTATTATTTTATTGTATTATTTTTGTAGTGTCATTTTTTATTTTTAGGAGCATAGGAAGCAAAGCTATTGGAAGAAAGCAAAAGCAAGTGAGATGGTTAGAACTAAGTATGGGGTGCCCGCACAAAGAAAGGTCTGAGAGAAGTCTGAGTATCCCATGAGCTGCTAATGCTTCGACCTTTGGCCCACCAGGGAGTTTCTTTTACCCTCTTGTATTTATGAGTGTGCATTGGGGACAATACACAATTTTAAGTGTGGGGTGAAGAAACTGTTGGATAATTTTCTATGCTATTTTAGTTGTGTTATTTTATGTGTGTTGAAAAAAAATCAAATAAATAAATAAAATTAGGTAGAAATAATCCCTCTTGGGTTTTCTTATGACCACCGTTTTTTTTCAAGGGATGACTTTTTAAACCGGGTAGTATTATTTTTTTCTTTTTCTTGTAGGTAGAATTCTCAAAAAGTTTTGGACTTTTTCCGACGATGGACCTCCTAAGCAGTTTTCTTGAGGGTTTAAAGTCCAAAAAAAAAAAATACAAAAAAAAAAGTTCATTGTTTTTTCCTTTTCAATTGATAATGGAATGGGAAGAACTTGAGTATCTATGCTTTTTGACATGTTTTATGTTGGGGATTAGAGCTGGAGCATTTGTGCTGAGTACTTTCTTCTTGAGTCTTGTAGTCTATGCCTTGAGAGTATATGTGACTAATTCTGACACTTGGGCTCGTATTTTGACTCCTATTATGTACATCCTATGCGATTGAATTATATTATGACTGTGCTAGTTGCTTTAACTTGAGAGTCAAGTCTGAGCCGTCTTGAATAAGTCATGTGCATTGTGTGAGGTGAGATTTTGGTTGTACTATATGCCATCCCTTGTTAGTCTAGAACTTGCCCCGTGTGTGACTCGAAGCGAAATGATTAAGAGCCCGTTTGGACATAAGAAAATTTTTCCTTTTTTCCAAAATATTTTCACTTTTTTTCGAAATCAGCATTTGTTCATAAAATTTTCAATTTTCACTTGAAGATGCATTTTGAAAATTTTCTAAAATTTTAAAAACTCTAAAAAGATGTTTTCAAAATTTTCACTCACAAAACTTCAAAAACAACCCAAAATTATATTCATATCCAAACACAACTCTAAATTTCAAATATCATTTTCACTTAAAACTTTTTTTCCCCCTATTTTGGAATTTTACAATTCTTATGTCCAAACGCCCACTAAGTCTTGTGAGTTTAGGAAATGATATAGGCATTTCTTTGATTCACCCTTTAGTCTATTTGCCTACCAGTGATAAATATTATCTTTTATTAGCTCGTTTGAACCTGTAAACCTTTTTTTTTTGGTACCCACATTACAAGACGAATCCCTTTTGTTCTTAATTAAATTTTGTTGAACCTTTACCTCCGAAAGCACTTAAGTCGCTAGAAGTGAAGGAAAAGAGATTGGGTAGTTTTTTTAGTGGAACCATAGAAAGGCCAAAAGGTGCATGTGTGAATAGAGAGAGTTACTAGCTGGAAATACCAATTTATGGAGGTGTTGAAAAGATTTTGAAAA